TTGTTTTTGTCTCCCAGTTTTGCAGTTCTTCTAGAGTTTGCTGAAGAACAGCTTCGAGTTGATCATGTGTTCATTTGTTTCCACAAGAACAGAGATGATAGAGGTAGGTCTGAACTCTTGGCCTGTCTCGAGACGTAAAAGCAGCATCGGAAGTTGCTTTGGGTGGATGTTTCACCTCTTGTTTAGTGTCATGTGGATGAAATGTGGTTTCTGCTTTATTCCTAGCTGCATTGCTCCGTACTTTCAGCTTTTTGGGCTTTGAGATTGTGAGACCAGGGCATCCCCTTGTCCCCAAGAGACCAGATGCTTGCTTCATGGCCTACACCTTTGAGAGAGACTCCTCAGAAGAAGAATAGATCGCAATGGTTTGCCTCTTAGAGCTTTCTTGTTGTCTATAAAGATGATTCTGTAGAAATTTTGTCAACATCTATTACAGTCTATCTAAAAAAAAACCTCCTGTTTCAAGCATTGTGACCAACTGCTCTGGTGGTGAGATGTTGAAAATTTCAGACTCCACATCTTTTTTTTCTGGATTTGTGCGCATGTTGTGGTTGTGCAAATAAATGCTCCCTCCAAATTAGCAGTATATTTCTTGAAGTTTAATATTGTGTTTGTGATACTGAAGTATTTGCTTTTAATTCTAAATAAAAATTTATATTTTACTTTTTATTGCTGGTTTTAAGCTGTTTAAAAGACTTGGCACTCTTCAAGAGGTGGCTCTGGAACTGCCCCAACCATTAAAGCTGCAGGTACAGAAAGATGTTGGTCATTCTTTGCTTGACTGGAACTCATGGCTCTATGATCTACCAGGACTTGAAATAATCAGGCAATCCTGTAAAAAAAACAACAATTACTTTGAGTTAAATAATTTGCAGGTTGTCCATTTTCTGGGGTATTTGGGATGGCTGCATCCCTGCTCCATCATAGAATGGGTTGGGTTGGGAGGGAACTTAAAGATCATCAGGTTCCAACCCCCTGCATGGGCAGGGATACCTCCCACCAGCCCAGGTTGCTCCAAGCCTCATCCAACCTGCCCTTCAACACTGCCAGGGATGGGGCAGCCCAAGCTTCCCTGGGCAACCTGGGCCAGGCTCTCACCACCCTCATGGTGAACAATGTCTTCCTAATACCTAACTCAAATCTACCTTCTTCCAGTTTAAAACTATTGCCCCTTGTCCTATCCCTGATCTCTGGTGACAACTTCAGTGTCTTCAGCTACTTCAGGGCATGTCTTAGTTGGGGAGTCACAGGTGACAGGCTGAGCAGCACAGCTTGGGGCTGCCCTGAGCTTCCAGTATCAAATCTGCAATGTGGATACCTCCAGTCTCACTCCACCAGTAACTGAGTCCTACACCAGCATCTGCTGGGTGAGTTCTTTGGGATCTAGAAGGCTCGTGGCACTTTTACAGGTAAACTGTCCCTGGGCCTGGGTGGCCTCCAGGACTCCTGGGCAAACACAAGGGGGTTGCAGAGTAAGGAGAAGGGGCCACTGTCATGGAAGGCCTGTTATTGGGGTCCCTGAACACCAGTTGGGGTTCAGGATATTGATCAGAAAGGCACAGGCTGGGTGTGTCATGTCAGGGTAACAAAACTTGCTGTGAAGCCTGGAGAGATGTCTCCAAAGGGCTGTGATTTCAAGTGTTGTATTTCACTTTTAAATTTTTCTCCAGCGCTTGCAGCTCTGGAGGAACGTTTGGCACCGTTGGAGCTGATTTATCTTTCCTCTCTAAAACCTTGGAGCAGTGAATCCCTGGATGGTTGTTTTCCTGGGTTGCTGTGCTGTGAGCACATGATCTTCATTCCTGATGTCCCCACTGGGTGTTGCTTTAGAACCCTACATTGTGAGGTGTTGAGTAGAAGGGAGGGGGCTTAAGGATCCCTCCAGGGTGATCAGTGTCATCCTGAGGCACATGTTCTGGGCTCAGCTGTGCTGAAATCCCATGGAATCCCCCAAAATGCAATCCCTGAAGTTCCCTTCTCAGCAATGCAGCAGGGAGAAGATCCTGCGGTGGGATCTGCAGCACAAAGTGCCCTGGGGCAGGGACAGTGTTCCCAGTGAGCCTGTGGTTCAAACCAGCAGCCACAGCAAAGACCTGGATGTTCTTGATGCTCTGATGAAGTGGCTTCAGGTAGTTTTACAGCACTGCCCCATCCTGGGCTGTGCTCTGCTCCTGGGGTAGGTCTCCTTCCCACAGGTCCCTTCCCAGTGTTTTTGGTGGCTGTAAAATCCTGCTCTTCCTCTGGGTTTCCTTGGAAAGATGTGAACTTGCTGCTCCTGCTGTGCTGAAAGGCCACCAAAGAGCTGGGCATGGCTAAGGGGAGGATGTTCCTCCTTTACCCAGCAGGTGGGCAAAGATCAGAAGTTCCTAAACTGGTTTTCTAGAGAAATCCTTGTTTGCACTGCTGTGCCTGGAGCTGTCCCCTGCTTTCCACAAGGACTTCAGGATGGAGATGTTGATGGTCCTACCTTGAAGGCTGTGGTGCCCTGTAGATGTTTCACTAACCTTGGGTGCTCCTGGCAGAAGGGGAACGGGTCACCCCAGGTGGAAAGCAGAAACAGGGGTGATGGGAGGTGCCAACACTGTGCTGGGAGCCTGGAGGTGCCCACAGCAGCAGGTTCTGTCTTTGTTTTTCCAGGACCAGATGCCCAAGGTGGCTTTGGGTGAGTGGCTGCTGTGCCACGGGCTTTACTGCCACCTTGTAGCCACCCGAGATACTACAGGAGAGTTGCTGGGGGCTCACCCAGGACAACCCCTCCTGCCTGTTTTTGGCCCAAAAGTCCATATTGGAATGTGAACAACGTTTCTGAGGACAGGTTGTGCTTGGGGGGGGGTGATCATGTCAGGGTTGGTGTGGCCAGGGAGCTTGTTTGGTCCCTTCTTGCACTTGCAGGGGCAGCACTGCTGGGTTTGGGGGCTGCTCCAGGAGGGAATGGTCCTGACTGTGTGGGGAGCCTGGCACAGGGAGCTGAGGGGTCTGGTGGGTGCTGGGTCCCTGGGTCCTGGCACAAGGGGATGAGGGGTCTGGTGGGTGTTGGGTCCCCCTGCAGCCTGGGTGACAAGGGCTGCCCAGGCTCTGTGGGCAGGGCAGGAGGCTGAAACCCACCAGCATCTTGGGTGTGGGGGGGTCACATCTCTGGTTTGCCAGGGGTTATTTTGGGCTCAGGGACCCCTAGGAGGCCTCCTCCCTGATCCAGCTGTGCCCCTGGGTGCCTGGAGTGCCCCATGTCACTGGGCATGCCAGGGATGCAGAGCTCAGGGGGGCTGCTCTTGTTGCTGCCAGGTCAGAGCTGCCAGTGCATCAATAATTACTTCATTAATAAGTACACAAATGACCTGAGCAGAACTTTGCATGGAGCTCCACTGGGATGGTCACTCAGCATCCCTGATGGGTTTGGGGACCAGGCTGGGAGACTCTTGTGATGCTGTGGGTTTCATACAGAATCACAGAATGTCTGGAGTTGCTGCTCTTGTTGCTGCCAGGTCAGAGCTGCCAGTGCATCAATAATTACTTCATTAATAAGTACACAAATGACCTGAGCAGAACTTTGCATGGAGCTCCACTGGGATGGTCACTCAGCATCCCTGATGGGTTTGGGGACCAGGCTGGGAGACTCTTGTGATGCTGTGGGTTTCATACAGAATCACAGAATGTCTGGAGTTGGAAGGGACCTCAAAGATCACCCAGTCCCAACCCCCCTGCATGGGCAGGGACACCTCCCACCAGCCCAGGCTGCTCCAAGCCCCATCCAACCTGCCCTTCAACACTGCCAGGGATGGGGCAGCCACAGCTTCCCTGGGCAACCTGGGCCAGGCTCTCACCACCCTCACACTCCACAATTCCCTCCTCATGTCTCACCTCAATCTCCCTCTCCCAGTTTTCATCCATCCCCCCTTGTCCTCTCCCTCCCTGCCTTTGTCCCAAGTCCCTCCCCAGCTTTCCTGGAGCCCCTTCAGGCACTGGAAGCTGCTCTAAGGTCTCCCTGGAGCCTTCTCTTCTCCAGGCTGAACACCCCAACTCTCCCAGCCTGGCTCCAGAGCAGAGCTGCTCCAGCCCAAGGATCATCTCCGTGGCCTCCTCTGGACACGTTCCAACAGCTCCACATCTTTCTCTTGCTGGGGGCACCAGAACTGGACACAGGATTCCAGGTGAGGTCTCACCAGGGCAGAGCAGAGGGGCAGAATCACCTCTCTCCATCTGCTGGCCACACTTCTGTTGATGACAGCCCAGGGGCCAGACCCTGCAGCCCAAGTCCCACGTAACCTGACCCGAGTTTATTTACTAATAAACCCCATGGAGGCTGTTCTGGGCAATCAGGCAGGGCAGGTTGGCTTTGTGTTCCTTCCAGGATCCATCACCTGGGTGTGCAAGGTTGTCAAAAGAAGCACATAAAGGACCAGTATTTAAGAGGCTCAGCTTGGGGTTTTATTGAAGCTGTGGGTCTGTTGTTATTTCCTCCTTTAAAATGTCATTTACATTGGTACCTGTGCCAGAAACCATTCCTAAAAAGAGCAGGCTGGGCCAGGTGGTGTATTTCTGGTTTGCAGATGGTTAAGATGAGCTGCAATGTGGGGCTTCCAATTGTTATTTAAAACAGGAAAAAGCCTCGTGGTGGCCCCGGGAAGGATCTGAGGGGGTTTTGTCCAAATTGTGTAAACTTTACCCAGGGTAATGAGCTGCTAAATTGGCCTTTGATCCTGGGGGTTCCATCCAGGCACCTTTCTTGACCTGCTCTGAGAAACTGGACTCACAGCAACTGATAGAAATCAGTGTGTGTAAAAACACCCCCCGAGTTGTGGGAACCACGGGGGGGAGTTTGGCCCCAGCTTTGTCATTCCTGGGCTGCAGGGGAGTTGAGCTCAGGTTTGCAAACTGGGGTTTTCCCAGCCAGGACCAGCTTGGGTTCCCTGCAGGAGGCAGCAGCTGGTGGATCTGGCCAGGTCCTCATGGGCTCTTGAATCTGGGGAGAACTTTTGGGTGGGCTGAGCTTCAGCTTAACCTCAGGGAGTGTAGAGAGCCTGGGTGACTTGGTAGAGAGTGTGTTCTGTGACCTTCTGGAAGTACTGGCAGCACAGCCAGTCCTCCAGGCTGGGCCTTGTCCCTGCCCCAGCTGAATCCTCTGCAAACTTGAGGAGCAGCAGAGCCCTCTTCAGCTCCACCCAGCTCCTGAGCAGGGTGAGGGTCTTCTTGCTGCTGGCAAAGAGCTCCTGGCGAGGCCCCCAGAGCAGGACCTGCAGGATGCTCCTGGCCTGCTGGATGGAGACCCTCTTGCAGGGATCTCTGTGGAGAAGCAGCACGGCCAGACGCTTGAGTCCCGTGGAATAGATGGACAAGGGAGGGATTTCAGGAAGTCTGTTGTTTCTGAACCCCAAGGCATCTTCCAGAGAGATGTCCACGTGCAGGATCTGATAGATCAGCATGCCTACCTGCAGCTCATCTGCCACTGGGGAGGGTGCAGCAGTGAGCCCCTTGGTCCAGTCCTGCTCTTGGCTGGTAGAACAAGGTCTTTGCTTGTCTTGGACCTTGAAGAAGCTGCTGATGAGCAGCCTTGGAAGGGACAGCCCCAGGGGTGCCTCCTTGCCTTGCTGGCTCTGGGCAGGACAGGGGCACTGCACCAGCAGCAGGTTCTGGGGGCAGAGGTCCCCCAGCCCCACGTTCTGTCTGTGGAGGTGCTCCAGCCCCATGCACACCTGCAGGAGGAGGAGACAAGCCAGACGTTCATAGTGCCCAGGGCTGGTCCTGTGCAAACCATGGGATCCCTTCACAAAGCCCTCCAGGGTCTGGTAGGGAACCTCAGGGGAAAGAAGAACCTGCAGGACAGGGCGGGTGGCAGGATGAGCTGGCTCCTCTCCAGAAGGGGACCAGTTCTGCTCTCCATCTCTTCCCAGGAGCTGCAGCTCCTGAGGAAGGTGGTCAGTGAGGCGGCCGATCAGGCTCTGGATGTTGCAGTGTGTCCCGAGGGAGCTCTGCACCCCCAGGCTGGAGCAGCCCACCTTGGGGACCTGCAAAGACAGGCAGGGCACAGCCAGCTGAGCCAGGATGGAGCCACTGGGTCCCAGAATCACAGACTGGTTTGGGTTGGAAGGAACCCTGAAGATCATCCAGTCCTGACCCTCCTGCCACGAGCAGCTGCACCTTCTGCTAGACCAGGTTGCTCCAAGCCCCATCCAAAGCCCCAAGCCAAAAGCTTCACCCTGCCCCAGGCTGCTGCTTCAGCTCAGGGCCACACCGGTCTGACCCACACGTGGTGCTGGGCTCCCTCTGCACCCTCCCGACCCACTGGTGCCTGCTGGAACTGGTTTGAGCAAGGAAAAGTGCTGCTCTCCTTGACCCAGCCTTTGGACCAGTGGGAGCCCTCCCTGTCCCCACCAGTACCACTATCAGCACCACCAGCATCGCTACCAGCACCACCAGCAGCAGCAGCATCACCACCAGCATCACCACCACCAGCCCCACCAGCACCAGCCCCACCACCAGCATCACCACCAGCATCACCACCACCATCACTACCACCACCACCAGCCCCACCACCAGCAGCACCAGCACCATCTCCTTCAGCAAATGCAGAAGCTGGTGCCAAAAGGGGAAGCGCCTGTGCGACCCGGGGCAGTGGAACAGCAGCCCAGCTCCCCGTGCCATGGGATCCAGCCCCCCCTGCCCCTCCCAGGGCACTTCCCCAACATCCCCACCTTACCTTGGCTGCAAACACCAGCTGGCTTTGCTCGGAAGAGAAGCCCACCCTGAAGTACCAGGCGTCCCGGCTCTCGCAGCAGGGCTGGGGCTCCAGGATGCTCAGCCCTGCCCAGCCCT